CACAAGCAAACACATAAGATTAACACAAGCAAACACATAAGATTAAGAAAACATGAAAAGACACATGCAAGCGTCCTAGCCGATAGAATTCACTATCTCTCCTTAAAGAATCTTATTCCCCTCTAGTACCCAAGGTTATGGAATGATTCCTCCCAGGATAGAAAGGACGTCCTTTCTATCCTGGGAGGAATCATTCCATACTTTTTCCGGCGTAGCGGTACCTCAAACCCCGGAACCCATCGAACGCAGCGAACTGGCGAGAATCACACTTGACTCGATTTTCTCTTTGAAAAGAATGTATAAAACTAGTTTTGTATTTTAGCAGAGTTTTGGTACCGGAAATATCCATGTAAAAACTAGAGGGGGTTAGGTGCTATTTATAGAAAATGAAGGGATGCTTACGAAGGGAGGCGACTCTTCATATGGGTGGTTACACCCCAACCAATACATTGGTTCGTTTTAAAATAATGAACCATTGCATCGGTTCGGCCTATAGTAGTTAGACCGGTTTGGTTATTCCAACCGCCATATCGGTTCGGTTCAATTTGGTTCAACTCAGTTTAGTTTGGCCCGTTTGGTACACAAACCAATTTAACCGATTAACCACATATTATATCAAATCGATCGAATTCAAGGCCGTGCCTTCCCACATCTTACCAACATGGTACTTCAAGAGACTCTCTTGAAACTTTCCCTTTTTATTTCCATTCACACCACTAAAAATCCCAACAATCCCCCACATGAATGGAGAATGTTGTACTTCAAAATCTATGCAAAATATCGTGTGATTCTCGACTACGAATTAGTTGCATCGGAATAGGTAGGTTTCCCTTTGAACCTTCCTTAGTGAACATATATCGAGTATACTTACCAATCGGTAGATGTGATATCTTTGAACAGTCGGTTTTGCTTGTATACTAAGACAACATATGTCACACAACTAACTCTTATCCGTTCATTGGTTCTCATTGTTGTGTTCGTTTTAGCCATGAACACCGCCTGGTCTCATGAGTGCTTAGAGAACTGGCCTTCTTTTATTCTCCTTGAAGCGACTCCACTTCACATTCACATAGGTGATTTCTAAACATGTATTCCAAAAATACACTATATGATCACATCCCGTGGCAAACTTAGAAACCATAAAAAACCTTCCATCTTTAGGTTTACCCTTATCGTTGGACATTGTCTAATCATGAGAATGGAATTTGAATAATTTGACAATGTCGGACCATCATTCACAACTTTGTTTGCTCCTTGAACCTAGAGGTTGGGTCTGCCAATCCTGCTTAGGTAGAGTTACCGCCATGATGAGTTGTCCTAGGCCACGAGTCCATTCCCTTCGATGATTTAATTAATTTCTAGGTGGGTCCCATGTTTGTTATCACTTGACCTAAACTGATCATCTCCGATAACTTCACTAGAAATTAACCAGTCAATAATGTTATGTTTCTACGACGAGATTTTTCACATAACACTTCTAGCCCTTGCAATCACCATTTTGTGCACAATTGCATTTTATTAACGCCAGCCTTTGGGGGACAGACTATAAAAATTAACCGGTCTTAGAGTGGGTATATATTCAGTTCAACTTGGATGTTTTCCAAGGTACTGCTCCCCATCAACCATAAATCCACATCCATCAATGGATTATACCTTGTGGTTCATCCGGTAAGTTCCTTTGGGTATAATACTCCAAAGACTCGTCTCTTTAGATTCACTATACATCATGTGTGTTTGCCTTGATTTTATTGCCTTGCAATAAACATAACACATGCCAACGGTGTTGAAGTCACTCTACTTCATTAACCTTAGAGTACTTGAGCTTCACAAGTATCTCTTCGACATCTATGACTTAACTTAGGGTTTACGTAAAACTCCTAAGTATTCACATCGATTTTATTGCCTTGCAATAAACATAACACATGCCAACGGTGTTGAAGTCACTCTACTTCATTAACCTTAGAGTACTTGAGCTTCACAAGTATCTCTTCGAATGTAGTGACATCTATGACTTAACTTAGGGTTTACGTAAAACTCCTAAGTATTCACATCACTTCACTTTGGAATCACCCAAGCGACATTCCATATCAATTTTCCCCAATTTATCCCCCACATTTCAACTATTTCGCCATAGTTGTTGAAACCAACGTTTCCGGTTTGGGAAATGTTGTTCATATACATTCATGTATATGGTCAAAATCATCTCTTTGGGAAGAGTGGATCAACATCAATAAATATTCTAGCTCTCTGACATAACGTCAATATATACTAGAGTTTACTCATAAGTTATACCCTTGGACTGGGTTAACTCCACAAGATTTAAGGACTCTCACTTTCTCATTGGACACCTTCATACTTTCAAGTATGATTTCGTTTACCTTTTTTCACTTTTGTCGTATGGATAGGTTAGCGTCCCATTATAGGGTCTTGAGACAGTAGCCGATCAATGGCTAGCTCTCCTCCCCCACAATTCTACCATTTTCCAAACATCATGGAATAATCTCATTTATTTTCCATGGTTTTACTTATTGAACTTGCCAACCACTATATGTATCTAATTGTTAACCAATTGTATGATCTCACTCGATTAGCATACCACAAACAATTCAAATTTTTAGAAATATCATCTAATTACTTACCAATGGTATTGATCAAGGCAACTTGAGACGTCATAAGTAATTCAGATGCATTCCAGTAATGGAAATCCCATCTAATTACTTATGTTTATGCCACGTAAACATTGTAGTTTTGGACGAATTTTACACTACTTTGAACCTTCATAAAAATTCGGATAATAATTTTCCTATATCAATCATGAGTACCTATACCCTGGAAAATTATCAAACCCTTAAAACTCCTCGGAAATATTTTTATTTAATTAAAACGAAGGATCAAACAATTTCTAAAATTAAAAATACATCTTCGAAAATCCCCAAATTAAATTACAGTCATCTCCTAGACCTCCCTCAATTTATAAAATTTTAAAACTCAGGGACAAATCCCCATAAAGACTCGAAACAATTTAAAACATCTAAAACAAGTTTCTGAAAATTCCCAGCAGCTTTAGTGACCACCTAAATTCTGTCACTAAAAGCTTGAACGCCTGTTGCTAAAACCTCAGAATTGCATCCTACGAAAAATCCCCAAATCGATCGATCTAACTCAAAGGGATCGAGTTGCCTTACCTCTAGAACGTGGCTAGGCCTAGGTTGGATGACCCGGGATGTTGATCTCCTCGTTGATCGAACCCTCAAACGTCACCGCTAATAAAATACGAGCTTCAGATTAGACTATCGGTAAATCGAGTTTAGAGATCGCGAAGGGGTTCGTGATCCTTACCTAGAAACACGAAAGGGATGGGATTTGGATCGGGATCAGGTGCAACTCCTTCTTTTCCTCTCGCCGCGCCCGCGTTTAGAAGCAGGGACAACGGCGGGGGTCAACTGTTACGGGCGGGTTTGGGTTTCTCGCGGCTGCTTGCTGGGACGAACAAAAATGGGGCGGGTGTTTGGGGGAATAATTGGGGCGCTGAGGGTTTGGGAATAATTGGGACGTTGAGGGCCGCTCGGCCCCAGGTCCGCCCTATATATATATTTTTTTATAATAAAATAATAATAGTTAATATTATTATTATTATTACTAATCCGCGATTGCAACCTTTAGTACGCAACTGTCAACCCAACCGATCACGTATTAAGGTCGAATCATAACCCAAAATTTGGGGTGTTACAGCTCCTGTAGCACGCATCGAGTCTATTCGCCTTCTGTGTGCTTTTGTTAGCCATATGCAGTTTCCTCTATATCAGATGGACGTCAAGAGTGCTTTCCTGAACGGCGTAATCCAAGAGGAAGTATATGTTGCTCAGCCTCCAGGATTTGTCGATCATCAATTTCCTGATCATGTTTTCACATTAAACAAGGCCCTTTATGGTCTTAAACAAGCCCCTAGGGCTTGGTATGATAGCCTGACCAGCTTTCTTAAACAACAGAATTTCACTCAAGGTTCAGTAGACAAAACTTTGTTCATTGAAAGAGTGTCATCGATTATGCTCATTGTGCAAATTTATGTAGATGACATTGTTTTTGGTTCTACTGATCCTAATATGTGTGCTGAATTCTGTAATTTTATGAAATCCGTCTTTGAAATGAGTATGATGGGTGAATTGCAGTTTTTCCTAGGGCTTCAATTCAAACAATATGAGCATGGCATTTTCATTAGTCAATCTAAATATATTCATATCATGCTACAGAAGTTTGCTATGGATAATGTGAATACGAGTCCTACTTCGATGGCTTTTAACTTAAAATTGGACAAAGATGAACAAGGTACCGGTGCCAATGATAAGAAATGTAGGGGTATGATAGGGTCCTTGTCGTACTTAACTGCTAGCAGACCTGACATTCAATTTAATTTCTGCTTATGTGCTCCTTTCCCCCTAAATTAAACAATAAAATCTAATTTATATATTTAATTATTAATTGCAAAGGTAATTAATTTCGTATTCGATAATACCGATTGGGATACCGAAGTACCGATTGGGATACCAAAATATTTAGGGATTGGGATACAGAAATTATTTAGGGATTGGGATTGACTTTAGAGTATAATTTGGTATTCGGGATTTCGGTATTTGGTATTGGGATACCGATATTGTACCGATTTCCACCCGTACATGCGATCCCTTGAGAATCTTAAGGATCTTGTCACAATTTAATTGCTACCCTCGAATTCCTTCTTTCCTTTTGTTATTTTATTTTTGTTTCCTTTTTCTTGGCGTTTGATTTGTTTTAGTTACCTTTTCAGTTCTCTTGTGTTTTCTAGGGTTGGTCTGCTGCTGCCTATTTATTGTGGTAAGCTCTTTATGTGTTCTGTATTCCCATCAGCGTGTCTTCCTTGTCTCGTTCGCTTCAAAATGAACCAGGTTTTTGCTCACTCCTTCACTGGTTCCTTGTTCTTTGAACCTGTTGTCCTGAGTCGTCACTGTCATGCATTGGCATATGAAGACCGTGACATCGCTATATTTGTTCAAGTCCATCTTCCTGAATTTGTGGATTTTGGACATGACATCAGGGGCTTTATTCATAATCTTGGGTGGGATTCTCTTCTGGTTGATCCACCTTCTCTTGTTTGCCCTGAACTTGTCCGGTTCTTCTTCTGCAACCTCCGTTCGTATGGTCTTAGCTCTAGGTGTTTTCTATCGTCATGTTCGGTCATCTTGTTACCATTCCTGTTGCTGATCTTGGACAAATCTTAGAGCTCCCCTCTGTTGGAGAATCTCTTGCTCATGCCTCCGAGCTCTGGCTGTTCAACTTCAATGTGTCTGAGGAGTTCGTCCAACTGACTGGCCTTCATCCTGGCCCTGATCTCTCTTTGCCAGTCAATCAGGTTCTCTCTCATTTGTGAGTTCTTCACTTTGCTATCACTGGAATTTTTCTGCCGCAAACTCAGTCTCTTGATCGTATTCTGCCTCTTGACTTGTGGATCATGGGTCATGTTGTCTGGGGGGTTCCTCTAAATTACTCGACTCTTATCTTTGGAGTGTTTCTCTCCTATGCTGATTCCTCCTACCCTGGGCCCTTGCCTCTCAGGCCTCTGATTACTCGTCTGGCAATTCGACTTGGCGTGTCTATTGCTCATTTTCACAGGAGTATCCCACCTTCCTTATGTTGACCGATCAATTTCTTGACGAGCTTGAGATTGCAATTAGGGCTGTCCATATGGTTTTGGTTTTTTGGTTTTAACCGAAACCAAACCAATTGGAAAGCTAATGGTTTCAGTTTTTTGGTTTTACACCAATAAGCAACTTAATGGTTTTGGTTTGGTTAAAACCGAAAAACCAATAGAAACCATTAAGAAACCAATAAAAACAAAATTATTTATCAACAAATATTTTTGTTTTTGTTTTTTTGACACCCATGCCAACCAATAATTTGTAATCGCCATTTATAATTATTATGAAGTTTATTCAATAAAAAGGAGGGAAATGAGAATAAATATGAGTGTATGAGTACATGTTGGTTTTTTGGTTATCCAAACCAAAACCAAAACCATTAAAGCCCTTATTGGTTTTTTGGCAACCGAAAACCAATAAGGACCTTAATGGTTTTGGTTTTGGTTTTTGGGATTTGGTTTTTGATTTTTGGTTTTTCATACTTAATGGTTTGGTTAACCAAACCAAACCAAATTGACAGCCCTAATTGCAATTGAGGGGGGTGGGCTGCAGCTGCTGACGATTCAGACAACGATTCAGATGACGCTGATAGTGATGTTCCCGTTGTAGCTGTTGCTATTGCTGGGGTTCTGGTGGACTACAGCTCTGATGAAGATTGAAAGACTTGATGAATTTGAAGGGAGTTAAAGGAGTTAGTTTTTTTGTTTAGAGGGATCTTTGCTTGTTGAGTTTAGAGGGAGAATTGTTGTTTTGGTTGTTGAACTGGTTGTGTTTATGGATTCTTGGTCTATTTGACCTTGTTGACAGGTTTTGTTGAATGCTTGCCGAGGATTGTTGTTATCTGATGGATTGGTTGATTGCTTTAATATTCTGGTGCCTTGTGGATTTTTTTTTTTGGGTGCTATTTCTCTTCTTCTTGTTGTTGCAGGTCTCCTCATTTGCAATCACCAATTTAGAGGGAGATTGTTGGAAGAAATTGGTAATCTGTTGGGCTCATTTGGAAAGTCTCCTCTATCAAAGGGTTTTGGCTCAAATGGTCAATTCCTTTCTAGCGCCAGCTTTCGACATCAAAGGAAGGTTTCCAACGGCTACCAAGTATGTCTATTTAAAGGGCTCGGATTTCTTGTTCTCTGTACTTTGATTGGACTAGACAGAAAAAGTGGTTCTTTGGGATCAAAGGGCTTGTATGATTCAGGGGTACAGGTTCTGATCATACAAGGTTGTAACAGGTGTGGGTGATTCTGAGTTTTGAATCACGGCTGAACCTTCTATCTTTTCTTGTCTTCATTATCAAATAAAACTCTCCTAAAGACAGCTGATGCTGATCTCTGGGATGTGGATATAAACCATTGCACTTGGGCAAACCACATTAAAAAACATCGTGTCTTTGTTTTTCTTCCTTGCAAGTTTCGTTTTTGTGTTCAAGTTCATCTGCTCTGCATATGCTCTATTCTCTATTCTTCACTACCTTCAGTAGAAGAAAGAACAAGAGTTGTAGGCTGATTGTTGAATCTGTGGGCTTTACCTTCATCTGTGGCCTTGGTCCAAGTTCTTAGTTTTGTGGAAATAAGAACAGTGGTCTTTCTGAGTGCTTAAGCCCATTGAAAGTAGCAAGACAGAAAGCTCTCATCGACTTGTCTCCCTTCTTTCCCTTCTCATTCCCAAATTTCACCGAGCCTCTACTCTGTTGCATTTTCCTTGATTAAATCCCTAGAAATCCATTTTGATCCTTTTTACAAGCTATTATGCGATTGCTTCTTTAGAGTTTTTTTATCTGATTTAACTTTTCACTATGTTGTTGTTGCTTTGTCATTTAGTTCCAGTCTCTGTTTTTAAATAATTTTGTGATGATGTCGTGTTTTCCATGGAGCTCAGTAAAAAGAAGAGCATAATAACAATAGCTATAGGAAACAACGGCTTCAAAATTGATTCCTAAGAGACTGAATTCCCCACCAGTTACACTTCAATCTATGCCAAGTCCTAGTTCAACTGCTTTTTTTCTCTTTTTAGATTACCTTGTTTTTATATATTGGTGTATTGTATGTCGTTCGATTGTTATTGTATTTCCTAATAGTTACGTGTAATAGGTGATTGCGGAAGTAGACCTGGCAAATTACAACCCGACCCATTGACTCGATTCGAATCCGCCCGAAAAATGGAAGTTTTTATGACCCGAAATCCAAATGACCCGAACCCGATAACCCGTGATTTTTTGGGTCGGGTTGGATGGGTTAGCGGGTCGACCCGTTAGACCCGTTCCATTTCATATGTAACTCACAAAATGATAAAATCACTCATAAATTGGTTAGATTTTTAAAAAAAAATTACAAGGATTTGAAAGACATGTTTGGAGTTTAAGGATAATCAAATATCATATGTTTCTTGTAGTAGTATTACTCCTGCGATTGGTTTTTTACGATTTGTGCAATTTGTAATTCATTTCGTTAGCATGAGAAGATTTGAAAATATGTTAATTGACATGTGTTAGGTATACTATTGCGATGAATATATGAAGATTTGTATTCTTTAAAAAAATATGAAGCAAGTTTGATATTGTTTCTGAGAGCGCTCGTAACCCAAAATGACTCATAACCCGACCCGTAACCGAATGGGCTGGGTCGATATTTAACCCGAAATAAGCCAACCCAATATGATCCGACACGTAACCTGAAACTCCAACCCGACCCGATTTCCAGGTCTATGCGGAAGTATGCATAAGACTAATTAACGGCTCAAGATTGGTTATGCACCTATGAGTAACTAAATCTAGACCCTTCATTTAGAAAATCTAGATTTAAGGGTGGAGAATTAAATGCATGTTTATTTTCCCTTGTTTTCTTAATCGGCTCATATCTTCTTCATTTTAACTCGGATTTCAAATTTTTTTTTTTTTGCACAGATGGAACAAGTTCATTGTGCACTACAAAATGAGATCCATTTACAATAATTTTTTTTAGAAATTTTTTTTGCCTCTCGTTACCAACTGCATACCATATGGTATCTTCTTCGTTTTGAAGTCATTTTTGAAATTTTTTGCATAGAAGGAACGAGTTCATCATGATCTATTGGATCTACAAATTTATTGGTGAACAAAATTCAAGACCAAAAAATACCATACAATACCACCCTGGTACGGGGTGGTATCTTGTGGTACACAATGTTGAAAGTCGTAAATGACAGTTAGTATACTCATACTATCATGTATTCAACCATCCAACAGTCTTGGTATATTCATACCACCATAGTACGCTTTTCATCTCATATGATATGCTCTTATTTCAATATGGTATTAACTGGTAAAAAATGACTCAATTTTTTTTGTTTCAAAAATATATTAAAGTGGATATCATTTTGAAGAGCACAATTAATGTGACATAACTGTGCAAAAAAAATTAAATTTCGACTTAAAACAAGTGAGAAATAGTCTATTAAAGATTAATAGGGAAAAAATTAAAAGCTTTTCAGGAGAGAGAAGAGACGCTAATTTGGCGGATTCTGATTGGATAATGCATAGTTATTGACCACAAGGTTATGCACCTAATCTGCTGCCCTAATTAACTCAGTGTGGTGAGCCTAAAGAAGCTCTTTGATTCAAAATAGTCAGTGTTCCGGGTTCCATCAAGACTTGGTCTTTTTTATGCTCTTCATGTTACTTCGAGTTTATGTTTCCAAGAGTGACAACGAGAAGGGAAGTGGAACACATGTCCAATGCTTAGGGTAAATTGGCAGCATATGATTCACTTTGCCTTACAAGTGATAGCTTTTGGACCTTTAAGTTTAGTGTTTTTCACTTTTTCTAAAATTTTCTAAAACGATTTGACCATTAATCTTCAGCCCACTTATTCGACTAGGCCAACGAGCTAAACCGGGTTGACAATAATCATTAGTATCTAATACTTAACAACTCCCACTTATTATTCAAACTAGCCTATATACTAAATTATAATAATTTATACAGTAAACATTGTTTTTTTATGTTCTTCCATATTTGTGATTTTTAGGTATAACCTTTTTGTTATTCTCTTGATTTTTATATGTACATTCAATTCCTGCAAATCCTAAATGACATATTTCCTTCCAACTCCGTTTTCGTATCCGACAATAAGAAGTGCAAAAATTTCTTCTAGAATATGAAAAAAATATATACACAATTGTAAACTAGGACGACTTGATAAAAAAAAATATTAACTAATTATCGTTAATATCATAATCAACAAATATCATAAAGATTACCTTGTAAGAATGAATTAATTATTTTAGAAAACTGTAAATTATTTAAAAAATATAAAGAAATTGATCAAAATAAAATAAATAAAAATTCATCCAACCAACAGTCGGGTAAAAGCTAGTAACTTTTTATAGGAGTTAATTTATATGATGGTCCCAATCTCAAACTCTTCCTTCTACAAAACCTAAATCCTAATCCGCGTAGATTCCAATTCTCAATCTTCTCGCCGGAATCAACCCTCAGTCCTATATCTCCTCCACACCCTTGTTTTGCAGGAATGAGACCAACACAGTTTGCTCATCCTCTTTCATGCTTTTCAAACTCGACATGGGAACTTCCATCTTGCAGTCTCTCGCAACTTCAATTCATTCGTCCATCCTCAATTGACCGAGCTTTCTTCACAATTCATCGTTGGTATGCATCTCCAACTACCAAAATTTCCCTGAACGAGTCCAATTCCATCAATTATCAGATCTGCAACCATAACTCCTTGAATCTCATCCCGAAGAAGCAACCTAAAGGTGATCTATGCCTTGTGTACTGTGGCCATGAGACATACTCGTCTTATGGGGTCTCTATCCACTATCTCATATTACTCTTTCTTTTTAGGGACTCAAAGCGTATTCAACATCTCTTGAATCACAATCTCTTGCGCACTTGGAGCAAACTTGTTTACCCGAAGCACTATGTGCTGCTGTGGTTAATTATATTGGGAAGGATCAGAACAAGAGGCAAGTTGATTGGTTGGGGGATCAGGTGTGATGGAAGTTGTGC